CTTGCTTCATACCTCCTGGTACCCCGCTCCCTGTTGCCACAATCTAGCCGTCATAGATCTGTGATATTGCCCAAGAGTATTTTTTCTATTTCTTTTTTTGTGTAGTTTAATTCCAAGTACATATCGTATGTAAATTTGATTCATCCATAGTTGGCACTTGTTATTCCATTCTTTAGTGGATTGATTGTTGCCTACTTCACAAATGATTCGCGCATGTGGCCGACCCTATGTTGAAAATATTAACTTTAGAAAATCAAACGACAAATATGTTCATGCATCAAAAATAAAAATACATTTCTGTCTCCTGGAGGTGGGCCTGGATATGGAATATGAGGTTGTTGGACATGATTTGCATTTGGAAATATTGTAACATCCGATGCAATTAATTGGCCGTTTCCAGAAGGACTAAAATGAACTGAGGAAAGGTATTAATTTCGAAGGACAATTATGGATCAAAAAGTCAAATAAGTTAAAAGAATTACTTACATTCATCAATACCAACGACTATTGGGGGGTCAACAACAACATTATTATTTGGAAAATTGAAGTATCGTTGCAACAACGAAGCAACTAAACCATGTTCGCGATTGCTCATGTCAATTATAAATACATCGCCGTTATCTCTTCGTTGATATTTATATCCAGAAGACTCTCGACGTTCAAGGAATTTATTATATTTTTTTATCGTTATATTTGAGCCGATTTTATAAGGCAAACTGACAATCCATTACAAGTCAGATATTGAAGTATTTAAAGTGTTTTACATTTGATGCTCGCTTACCTGTCCTCATTTAACGGCTGATCCGGAAAATGAAGATGGTTTGGAAGTAATAAGTTCAGAAGTTTCTTCATTACTGGAGGATTTGAAATCAAAATAATCTAATTAAATATGATATAAAATTCTCACAATCAGGTGACAAAAGTTTGTATTTTGTATTAAACGGAATCGAAATAACAGTATACATAATGGCCAATGCTGATTCATACAATCGCGTAAAAATAAAAAATGGTGTGGTCTAACCCTCTTTATTTAATAAAAAATTGTTGCCGGAACAACAATATACAAATAAATTTTTTTTTAATTATCTTCTAGCACTACGACGATGTGAATAATATTTTGATCAGGATTTATACTGAAATGGTCATAGATCCTACTATTTGGATCCATATTTATAAGGTAGTCCCCAGCGGTAGGAGAAAACCTACGAAGCTGATAAGGATCATTTCTTAATTCGGGTGGTAAGCTGGCCTGAATCTGAGTTATTATTGTGTTAACATGGTTTCCATTAAAAACTCTAAT